CATACATAGTATTTTCTTTTACCATAACGGAATTAAACCAGAAATCATTAACAGAAAAATAATGATGAAAACTCGAAACACTTGTAAATTAAACAAAAAAAGTTCAAGAATTAAAGAGGAAGTCTCCCCAAATTTGTAACATGCAGCTAAAGTTGTGCTTAGGGAGAAAGTTATAGCACTAAATGTTTATATTAGGAAAAAAGAAAGGTCTGACATCAATAATCTAAGCTTCTTCTATCTTAAGAAATGAGAAAAAGAAGAGCAAATTAAACCCAAAGCATGAGGAAAGGAAACTATAAAAATTGGAGTAGATATCAATAAAACTGAAAACAGAAAAACTACAGAGAAAATGAACGAAACTAAAACCTGGTTATTGTGTGTGTGGAGGGAATCAATAAAATTGATAAACTTCTAGCAAGACTGATTAACAAAAAGAGAGAAGAAAGAAACCACCAAATATCAGAAACGAAAGAGTAAATAATACAGGGAACACTATAAAACTCTATGCACATAAATTCAACAACTTAAAATAAAACGGACCAATTCTCTAAAAACCAAAACAACCAAAAGTCATCTGAAATGAAAGAGATAACTTGAATAATCTTATAACTATTAAAGAAATTATATTTTTAGTTAAAATATTTCAGGAGAAAAAAAAAAAACTTCAGGCCCAGATGGTTTCACTTGCGAATTCTACCAAATATTAAAAATAATAATAATAACATCAATTGTACACATCTCTTTCCAAAAATAGAAGAAGGGGGATACTTTCCCAAATTATTTTATGTAGCCAGTATCATTCTCATACCAAAAAAGAACACTACAGGCCTGTAGGCCAACATCCATCAGAAATATAAATGCAAAAATCCTCAACAAAATATTAGCAAATAAAATCCATCAGTATATAAAAAGAATAATACAACAGGACCAAGTGGTGTTTATCCTAGGAGTATGAGGCTGCTTCAATATTGAATATCAGTTAATATAATCTACTATATAAATAGTCTAAAACAAAAAAAAGTTATATCAATAGATACAAGAAAATATTTAACATTCATTTATGATAAATATACATTAGTAAACTAAGAATGGAAAGTAAATTTCTCAACCTGATCAAAGGTATCTACAAAAACTCTAGAGTTAAGATCATACCAGTGGTGAAAAACTAACTGCTTTCTTCCTAAGATTAGGAATAAGGCAAGGGTGTGCATCTTACCACTTCTATTCAACATCATAATGGAAGTCCTGTGCAGTGCAATAAAACACAAAAATGAAATTAAAAGCATACAGATTGGAAAGAAATAAAACTGTTTTAATTTACAAATGACATAATCGTCTATGTAGATAATGTCAAGAAACCTACAAAAAAACTAAGAATTAATAAGTGAGTTTTAGCGATTTCAGAGAATACAAGGTCAAAACACAAAAATCAGTATTTCATAACAGTAGTGTAAATCTGGAAACCTAAATTTTTTAAAATTACCATGTACAATAGCTCCAAGAAAATAAAATATTTTAATATAAATCTAACAAAACATGTACAGGATTTATATGGTACAACACATTTTTTTAACTAAATAAATGAGAGAAATACATTCATGGGTTGAAAGATTCAGCATAGAAAGTATGTTAATTCTATTTAACTCCACCTATAGATGTGTTTTGGGAGTCCTCAAGACCTCATTCCTAGGAGGACTCCCAGAACTCAGCATACAGTCAGTCATATTCATGGATATGATTTATTATAGCAAAAGATACAAAACAAAATCAGCAAAGGGAAAAGAAGCATGGGCAAAGTTTGGCAAAAAACAAAAGCAAGTTTCTAGAGTCCTGTCCCAGTAGAGTCATTTAAGATGCACTTAATTCCTCCAGCAATGAGATGTGACAATACATGTAAAGTGTTGTCTACAGGGAAACTCATTAATGACTCAATGCCTAAGATTTTATTGGGAGCTGGTCACGTAAACACTCTCTGCTTAGCATGTACCAAAATTCCAGACTCCCAGAAGGAAAGCAGGTATTCAGAATAAACCACATTGTTTGCGCAAAGTTTAAGCACAGTTATCATTAAGGGAAGGTTTTATAGCAGTGCAGGGAACTGTTTATCAGTCAAGTTCCCAGATGCCAGCCAAGGGCCAACTTTGCAAACAGTCCTTTCTAAGGATAGCAGTATCAGGCCCATTATGTTAACTCTTCTGCACAAAACGTAACTCAATTCCAATCAAACTCAGCAGTATTTTTTTGTAGATATAGACAAACTGATTCTAAAATTTATAGAGAAAGGCAAAGGAATCAGAATAACTAAAACAATTTTTAAAAGAGTAGAGTTGAAAGAATCATGCTACCCAGTTTTAACAATTAATGTAAAATTGGAGAAATAAAGACAATGTGATATTGGCAAAGAGACAGACACAGAGATCAATGAAATAGAATAGAGTATAAAAATAAGTATAGAAATAGACCCACAGAAATGAGGCCAACTGATTTTTGGCAAAGGCTCAAAAAAATTCAGTGAAGAAAGTATATTTTTTAATTTTTTGAGGTAACACCATAGTGTTTTCCATAGTGGCTGCACCAGTCTGCATTCCCACTTGACTCAGTGATCCCACTTCTAGGAATATACCCTAAGAAGCCTGAAACACCAATCAGAAGGACCTTAGGGGAATTATGGTGAGTAATAAAAGTCAATCTCAAAGGTTACATACTATATGATTCCACTTATATAAAATGTTCATGAAATTAAAAAGTTTATAACTTAGGAGTTTCCAGGGACAGGAAGGTAAGGGGAGGGAGATGGCTGTGGTTATAAAAGGGTAACATGAGGGGTCCTTGTAGTGTTGAGATAGGTCTGTATCTTAACTATGGTGGAGGTGTGCTTACAAAATTCACGTGTGATAAAATTATACAGAACAGCCCTGGCCGGTTTGGCTCAGCGGTTAGAGCGTCGGCCTGCGGTCCTGAGAGACCCGGGTTCGGTTCCCGCTAAGGGCGCGTACCTCGGTTGCAGTTTGTCCCCGGCCCTGGTCGGTTGTGCGGGTGGCAGCCACTCGATGTGTCCCTTTCCCATCGATGTTTCTCTCTCTCTCTCTGTTCCTCTCTCTCCCCCCCACTCTACCTGAACAAAAAATGGAAAAATGTCCTCGGGTGAGGATAAAAAAAAAAAAAAAAAAATTATACAGAACACACACACGCACACACACATAAATAAGTATATGTAAAACTGAAGACATTTAAATTAGGCTTGTGGACCTTGATAGTGACATTATATTACATTTATGCAAACTGTTATCATTGAGAGAAAGGTAAAGGTACCTCTCTCTACTATTTGTGCAACTTATTATAAATCCATTATTTCAAATGTTAAAATTTCATAGAACTATATACCAAAATAGTCAACTGTGATTCTCCATCAAAAGGTGCACATTAGGCCCTGGCCAGTTTGGCTCAGCGGTTAGAGTGTCGGCCTGCGGTCCAGAGAGACCTGGGTTCAGTTCCCGCTAAGGGCACGTACTTCGGTTGCAGTTTGTCCCCGGCCCTGGTTGGTCGTGCGGGTGGCAGCCACTCGATGTGTCCCTTCACGTCGATGTTTCTCTCTCTGTCTCTCCCTTCCTCTCTCTCCCTCCCACTCTATCTGTACAAAAAATGGAAAAATATCCTCGGATGAGGAAAAAAAAAAAAAGGTGCACATTAGCATCACTTGTGGAGCTTTATAAAAATATGTGTGCTTGGGCCACACCCCCACAAATCGGATTTGATAAGTCTGAGATGGGACCTGGGCATCTGTGATCCTGTGATCTGTAAAGGTGATTCCTAGTGGATAACAACCACTTCAAAAGTGGGGGGTAAAATACACACACATTAACAGTGATTGTGAGATCATAGGTAATTATAAATTCTTACCTTGCTATAATAAATGTAAATTTTTGTGCAATAAAAGTAGCAAAAGCTTTTATAAAAAAGATTCAGTTCATCATTCCAGCTGGTAGATACATTTTATCTATTATCCATTTATTCCCTATCCCTACTCCCAGTTTCAATTGCCCATGAATTTGATGAGTAGATCTTCTCTGTTCTCTGTTCTCATCTACATCATCAATAAAAATGTTGATCACAACAAAGTCTGCTGGCAGTTCACTAGAAACCTTGTTATAGCTTGGTAATGGTCAATGATCTTTGGGATCAATATTATTTGTTTAAGAACTCCCTAAATTCTACTCTTATCTAACTTACTACTCTCCATCATTTCCACAAAATAAGAGACATTTTCATGCTTTGCTGATATCCAAACCTACCACATTTCCCCGGTCTGTCATTCCAAAGCGAGCCTGAACCACTTCACTGGCACTTAAAGGATATTAAACTATATTACTTTTTCTCCCCAATTATATAGTAACAGTATGCTGGGCATAGACTATGCCTTATATTTCCATGCAAACTCCATAGCAATCCATTCAATTCCATTCATTCAGCAAATATTTATTGACACCTATGTGCCAGGTACTATTCTGGGCTCTCTTTCCTTAGTGTAAAGTGATCATTAAGTATTCATAGTAGTATTCCCTCAGCAACCAACCCTGAAAAAACAGCTACCTGCCATGTTTAGTGCTACATTGCCCTTCCTATTATCCATGTCACCCAAACTTGACTTTGTCACTGACCCCTATCCAAATCACCAGATACACTTTTACAAGATTTTAAGAAGGATTGAACTACCATACCATCACTCTCTTTTCCAGAAATACTCTCTTCTTCCACTGAGTTTTCCAGTATCTAATTTATAACACTCTTATGGTACGTAGTGTATTCTACCATGTATTGTACTTATTTGTCTGCATGTCTTACCTTGCTCCCTATATCATAAGCTTCCCAAAGGCAGGAACCATAGCTTATTCAGCTCCGTAGACCCAGTAAAGTTTTACCATGTTTGGAACCTGGCAATACTGAATGAATAATTGATAAACAGAACAGCAGCTCCTTAAGGAAGAAGTTACCAGGCTCACCTGTACTTCCACCAACCAGTTCACAAGAATTGCCCTCATGTCACTGCTGATGTCAGTCTGATTCTTCATGTAATTTCTAAGTATGAACTTTTCCTGGTGACAATAAGAAAGAAATGTTAATAAACTTTTCTTGTAGTTCAAAAATTATAACTTAGAAAAAATATTTGCAATATCTCAGAAAAAAATTATAACAACATAACTTCACAGTTTAACTCATTTTCAGCTGGTATCTGATAAAGGCAGATCAAAGTATCCTTTCCAAGTTTCCTGGGAAATGGACACACATAATATTCAAGTGCCAGTGTGGATACTGAGGAATCCAGGGAAAATATGGGCAGGAACACACCTATGACTATAGATGAATACCAAAAAGGTCCTGCCCCCTTTTTTCAACTCAACCTAAAAGCACAATACCATGCCATGTAGAGCCAATGTTTCTCAAACTTAAACATGCATATGTACCACTTCTAATTCAGAAGGTCTGGGGTGGGTCTAGGTTTCAGCATTTTTTTTTTTAATGTTCATTATTTTTATTTATTTATTTACTTTTTTCCTTTATTGATTTTAGAGAAAGAAGTGAGAGGGAGAAACAGAAACATCAATGAGACAGAACATCAATTGGCGGTCTCCTGCATGCCCCCGACTGGGGATCAGGCCCACAACCTGGGCATGTGTCCTGATCAGGAATTGAACCAGTTACCTCCTGGCACATGGCTCAACACTCAACCACTGAGCCACACCAGCCAGACTAGGTTTCTGCATTTCTAACAAAATCCCAAGTGAAACCTATAGTGCTGAGCTAAGGCCCACAGTTTTGATATAGCAGAGTTTTCTCTTACTTCCTCTAAGGTATACAAGAAAAAAAAGGTGGGGGGGGGCTCTGAAGTCAGTTAATCAAATGCTATGTCTCTAGAGAGAATATGAGATATTCCCTCTTATGCATGGTCTGTTAAAATTCTATTTGGCACATAATCTTGGTCCCATCTGTTCTGTTGAAAGAGACAGAAAAAACACTTGGAATCAATAAATATTAGTGGTAAAGGATATTGGCAGACTTCAGAGGAAGAAATTTTCACCAGATTGGAGAGGTGAAACAAAGGGTGTGATTTTACATATGATGCCAGAAACTTGCATAGAGAAGGGAAAAGATCTCTAAGAGCAGCTACTCAGAAAGAGACTACTTGACCGTTTTTGTGTCTGAGACTGTCTCCTCAGAAATTAGAGGTGCAGGCTTATGTTCCCTAGGTAATCAGACTTTAGCCAATATCCCAGCTCTACTACATACTAGTTGTGTGACTATAAGCAGTTTCCACTATCTACAAAAAGGAAATAATAATAAGACCTGCCATCATGAAATTATTGGGAGAATTAAAAAAGGTAATGTCTATAAATCCCTTAGCACAATGTCTAACTCATAGTAAGCTACCAGTAGATGCCAGTTGTTGCTCCCCTTTCAACTCGCATTTGAAGGATAAAATGATGAGGAAATAAGAACTAGAAACCATTGTTCCCTGCCCCCCTACCATCTACACACCTCTCTCTCCTTCATGTATCTGAAGATATCCTTGGCATATACTAAGTTGAAATATGGATCATAGTGGCTCTCATCAATCTCCTCCAGTATGGTTACCTGCATGGAAATCACCAAAAAAGACATATTAGGAGGAGAAACATTCCAAGGACAGTTTAGCACATACACATAAAGGATGACTACTTTCTTCCCACTGTCATCTTCTGCCAAGATTCCTCAAGCCTCATACATCCTGGGCCATAACAAAGCACTCTTGGACCCTGTATTCCTCATACTGCTGAGTGACCAAGAAATGCTTAGTCCTCCTTGTACATGCCTGCTCTACCCTAGGAACCAGGTACCATTTTTACAGGTAAGCTCAAGACTCTTCAACAAAGACACTCTTATTTTACTATTTCAGCTTATTTCACCTGTCTTCTTAGGTTCCTTGTTATGTGCAAATGCTTTAAGCTGGCCCAATTCATCTTCTTGGCAGCCTTTTCCTCCTTCTGCACCTTTATTCAGGTTGTTTTTGCCTACAAGATGTGTATTTCTCCTCCTATTTGCCAAATCCCATCCCTTCATCCTTTCAATTTACAACTTAAAGATCATTTCCTTGGGAGATGCCTCTGTGAACTTAACCCATCTTTGACTGAAGCCCACTTGAATTCAGATTGCAGTTACTAAGAAAGGTAATTTCCTGAAAGATACAAACACTACTGCAAAGCCTATATATGTATTTTTATATAGTATTACAGTCCCTTGTGGATACTCCTAGAATACTTTCTAATTGCTTGGGTGATTCACTATGCCACTCGGGAAGTAGTGAGATTCTACAAGGTCAACTTGATTTACTATGGCTTATAATATACAGCTCAGTTACTGCTTAAGAAAAAAAATATCTTTGCTAGCAGCCACCTTCAGGACAACAAAGAAACTTTAATCTAATTTAGGTAGAGAGCAGAATACCTCCTTATGTGATCTCTTGCCCCAAGATGAGAAAAGTTTATTGGAACTGGATTTACAAGCACTGGACTTCTTTGTGGTATTAAACTTCCTCACACTGGACATGGTACCAGAGCTGGACATGCTTGTTCTAGATTCAGGGGCAGTGTTGAACACATGTGAGCTGGTCTCAAGTTGGAGGATTGAGAAATCTTTAAGAAAGGTGTCCTTCTTTTGGGTGGAATTATCTTGCAAGGCCAATGGCTTCTCAAAGGACAATTCCTGCCCTGTGGTGGGTTTCTCATTCAAGGAAGACATCTTGAAATGGAATGCCTCATTGATGGTAAGCTTCCCCTGAAAGGCTAACTCCTCACTGATGGACTCTTTCTCAATGCTGGGCTTCTGCTGCAAGGCCAGTGGTTGTTTAATAAGAAAATCCTCCATACTGGTGATGTTCTCTTGCAAGGACAACTGCTTCTTCAAGAGGAACATCTCCCCTTGAGCAGTGGACTTCTCTAAAGATAATTGGTTCTCTACACTTGTTGTTGCCTCAGTGGAAACCTTCTTCTTCAGAACCAATGGTTTCTTCAAAAGGGAACCCTCTTCGGTGGTGCTTTTCTCCTGTGAAGTCAACAGCTTCTTCAAGGGGTCCTCTTTGATTTCAGTCTTATTCTGCATATTCAAAGCCTTCCAGAAAATAGACTCATCTTTGTTGGTAGGTTTAACATGCAATGAAAATTGTTCCTGAAAGAGGAATTCCTCCTCAGTGGTAGGCTGCTCCTCCAATGGTTCCTTAATATATGATTCTTCTTCAGTGGTAGTCTTTTCCTGCAAGGCCAACGGCTTCCCTGAGTGGGACACCTCCTTCAGAGTGCTGTGCTCCTCTTTCAATACAGATGGATCCTGGCAGAGGATATCCTTATCAGTTGCAGTCTTTTTCCCAAAGGGCAACACCTTCTTAAAGAGTGACTCCTCTTCAGAAGTGGTCTTCTCTATGACCAATGGCGTCTTTAAGAGAAACATCTCCCCCTGGGTGACTTGCTTCTTCTTTAACGATAACAGTGTCTTGGTAAGGATTGCCTCCTCAGTTGAAGACTTTTTCCTAAATGTCACTGGTTCCATAACAAAGGAATACTTATCTTTGCCAATCATGTTCTTCAAGTCCAACATTTCTTGGCAGATAGACATTGTTATTTGAGTGGTGTACCTTTTCTTCTGTAAAGATAATGGCTCCTTGCTGGAGACTGCCTCATTTGTGGTATGTTTCTCCCTAAAGGAAACTGGCTCCATAAGAAATTCATCTTTACTGTGAATATTCTCTTGCAATGTCCATGGCTTCTTTACAAGGGCCACCTCCCCCTGAGTGGTGTGCTTCTCAGGCAAAACAGATGATTCCTTGAAGAGGAACTCTTCCTCAGTGGTAGGCTTCTTTTTAAAAGACAATGACTCCTTGATGAGCGACTTCTCTTCAGAAATGGTCTGCAATTCTAGTGGCTTCTTCAAGCAGGATATCTTATCTTCAGTGGCACATTTCTTCTTTACAAATACTAGCTCCTTGGTGGGGGTTGCCTCCTCACTTGTACACTTCTTGAAAACCAACGGCTCCTTTGAAAGTGACTCCTCCTCAGTTGGAGTCTTTTGCAAGGCCAAGGGCTTATTCAAAATGGACACCTCCCCCTGAGTGGTGTGCTTCTCTGGCAACACAGATGATTCCTTGAAGAGGAACTCCTCCTCAGTAGTAGGCTTCTTTTTAAAGGACAATGGCTCCTTAATGAGTGACTTCTCTTCAGAAACAGTCTGCAATACCAATGGCTTCTTCAAGCAGGATATTTTATCTTCAGTGGTATGTTTCTTCTTTACAAATACTAGCTCCTTGTTGGGGGTAGCCTCCTCAATGGTACGCTTCTTCTTAAAAGCCAAAGGCTCCTTTAAAAGTGACCGTTCCTCAGTTGGAGTCTTTTGCAAGGCCAAGGGCTTATTCAAAATGGACACCTCCCCCTGAGTGGTGTGCTTCTCTGGCAACACAGATGATTCCTTGAAGAGGAACTCCTCCTCAGTGGTAGGCTTCTTTTTAAAGGACAATAGCTCCTTAATGAGTGACTTCTCTTCAGAAATGGTCTGCAATACTAGTGGCTTCTTCAGGCAGGATATCCTATCTGCAGTAGAACGTCTCTTCTTTACAAATACTAGCACCTCGGTGGGGGTTGCCTCCTCAATGGTACGTTTCTTCTTAAAAGCCAAAGGCTCCTTTAAAAGTGACTCCTCCTCAGTTGGAATCTTTTGCAAGTCCAAGGGTTTCTTCGAGATGGACACTTTCCCCTGAGTGGTATGCTTCTCTTGCAATAGAGATGGCTCTTGGAAAAAGAACTCTTCAGTGATAGGCTTCTTCTCAAAGGAAAATGGTTCCTTATTGCGCAACCTCGCTCCAGAGGTGGCCTTCCGCAGTATCAGTGGCTTCTTCCTATGGAACATATTCTCCTGAGTGGTACACTTGTTTAAAGTTAAAAGCTTCTTGGTGGAGGTTGCCTCCTCAGTTTCAGGCTTCTTCCTAAAGTTTTCTGGCTCCATAAAGGATTCCTTGTCAACGTTAATGTCCAGCGAGGTCAAGTCCTTCCCACAGCAGGACTGCTTCCCCTGACATGTGCACAACTTTGTAAAAGATAATGTCTTCTTGGCGAAGGCTGCCTTCTCAGTTTTATGCTGATTCCCAAAAGTCACTGGCTCTGAAACAAACTCCAAATCACTCTCAGTCTCCTCCAGCAAGGACAGTGGCTCCTCGAATACCTTATTCCAATGTCTGTGCTTCTTTAAAGATAATGACCTTTTTGTGAAGATTGTGTCCCCAGTATTGGGTTTCTTTTTTAAAACTAATGGTGTTTTTAAAAGAGATGCCTCCTCAGTAGTGGGTGTTTTGGAGATTGTAGATATATTCACACTAAGTGGTTTCTCCACAAAGGTTAGTACCATGGTGGTAACTGCTACTGATGAGGGTTCCAGCTCATACCTGTAAAGAAAAGAATATCTGGGTAAGAACGTAGTTCGGAGAATCTTCATCTACATTCTCATTTTGTTGCTATATTGACTAAAGGTATGGAAGAGGAAAGGGCTTCAACTCCAAGAGATAGATTAGAGTATAAAAGTCAATTACCATAGTGAATCAACCAAGTAGCACAATGTATAGTTTCTATGGCCTACATCCCCACATTTTTCTGAAAATTTTCCCCTGACATACATGGTTTCACTTCAGATAGTATAAATCTTTCACCTTTTACCTTTATTTATATACAAAGGCTTCCATTATAATACTTGCCACATTGTATGAGTTATCTGCTTATATATCAGTCTCCCTGACTAGCTGCGTTTTTCTTTATCTATCAGCATCAGGCATCTGGTAAAATGCAGGTTGAAATTAATATTTTTGAAGGCTTATGAGACAGGATTATAAGAGAGAGGTATATAAGAGGCTTATGAAGGTTTAGAAGTCAAAGTTGGGCTGATACTTAACATTGGTGGTATCTAACCATAGTCCCTTTACTCTATGCTATTCACAAGATATTTTTTCAGTGGAGGACATGAAAAGACAAAAATAGATATTGATCACATGTGTCATATGCAAAGCTTTGTTTTGTATAGGATTTCATGTCCAATCAGAGTGACTAATCCAGTGTGACCAATCACTGGATGACAGGAAACCAGAATGAAAGGATTGAAGGAAAATACAATCATCAGTCTGAACAAGAGTAAGTACCTCCAAAAGACTAGATTATCATATGATTCCATTTATCTGAAACATCCAGAATAGACATATCCATAGAGGTATATTCATAACAGAAATTAGATTGGTGGTGGCCTGGGGCTGAGAAAAGGTGGGGTCTAGGAAGGAAAAGATAGAACGGAAGACTGGAAAAGGGAAGGGACTGCTAATGGGTATGAGTTTCTTTTTGGAGGGGCAGAGTGTTGGAAAAATTCTAAAATAACATAGTGGTAATGGCTATACAACTATGAATATAATACAAAAAAAATGAATCATTTTTTTCTAAAAGTTTTTATTGATTTTTCAGAGAGAGGGAGGGAGAGAGAGATAGAAACATCAATGTGAGAGAAATACATTGATCGGCTGCCTCCTACAAGCCCCCTACTGGGAATCGAGCCTGCAACCCGGGCATGTGCCCTGACCAGGAATTGAACCTGGACCTCTCAGTCCATGGGACAATGCTCAATCCACTGAGCCACACCAGCCTGGCACAATGAATGACTTTTTTTTTTTTTTTTTTTACAATGAATGATTTTTAAAAAGGAAGTACCAGCTGGCTTATTACAAAATGGACAAGCTGATTCTAAAATTTATATGGAATTGCAAGGAACCAAGAATAGCCAAAACAATCTTGAAAAGGAGGAGCAACGTTAGATGAGTCGCACTTCCCTTTTCTGAAATGCCTTACAGAGCAACAATAATCCAGATAGTTGTGGTACTGATATAATAATAGACATGTAGATCAATGGAATAAAATTAAGAGTTCAGAAATAAACACTTACATTTAACAGACAATTCATTTTTGGCAAGGATGCCAAGATAATTAAGTGGAGAAAGATTAGTCAATTTAAGAAAAAGGTACTAGGACAATTGTATATCTACATGCAAAACAATAAATTTAGACTCCTAACATACACCAACAACAAAAATTAACTAAAAAAAACCTAAGTTAAGAGCTAAAACTTTAAAACTCTAAAAAGAAAATATTAAAAATAAGCAAAAAACAAAAAACCTCATAGACATAGACCATAGTTATGGTTATTACAAGAGGAAAAGAGGGGGGGAGGTAAAAGAGGGTAAAGGGGAGGATATATGATGATGGAAGGAGACATGACTTGGGTAGAAAACACACAATATAATATACAGATGATGTATTATAAGATTGTACACCTAAAACCTATATAATTTTATTAACCAATGTCAAACCAAAAAAATCAATAAAATATTTTTTTAATAAAATTTTTAAAAAGTAAATCACTATAACCTTGGATTTGGCAATGGTTTCTTATTAGATATGACACCAAAAGCATAAGCAACAAAAGAAAAAATAGCCCTAGCCGGTTTGGCTCAGCAGTTAGAGCGTCAGCCTGTGGTCCAGAGAGACCCAGGTTCGGTTCACGCTAAGGGCATGTACCTCGGTTGCAGTTTGTCCCTGGCCCTGGTTGGGTTGTGTGGGTGGCAGCCACTCGATGTGTCCCTTTCACGTCAATGTTTCTCTCTCTCTCTTACTCTCTCTCCCTCCTGCTCTATCTAAACAAAAGAATGGAAAAATGTCCTTTGGTGAGGATAAAAAAAGAAAAGAAAAAAATAAATTGGATTCCTCAAAATTCAAAATGTAAAAGACAACACACAGAATGGATGAAAATATTTGCAAATCATTTATCTGATCAGAGACTTATATCTAGAATATGTAAAGAACTCTTGAAAACTCAATAATGAAAAGCTCAATAATAAAATTTTAAAAAGGGGACAAAGGATCTGAATAGATATTGTTCCAAAGAAGATATGCAAGTGGCCACTAAGCACATGAAAGATGCTCAGTGTCAGAAAAATACAATCTAAACTAGGAGATACTACTTTACATCCACTAGGATGACATAATTTAAAAATAAAAAAAGAAAGAAAGAAAATAGCAAGGGTTTACAAGGGTATGGAAAATTAGAAACCCTCATATATCACTGGTAGGACTATAATATAGCACAACCACTGTGGAATATAGTTTGGCAGTTCCTCAGTGAGTCCAATATAGAATTACCATTTGACCTAGCAATTATATTCCTAGAAATATACACAAAAGAATTGAAAATAGGTGTTCAAACAAAAACTGACACCAGCACTATTCAGAATAACCAAAAGGTGGAAACAACCCAAATGTCCACCAACTGATGAATGAATAAACAAAATATGGTATATCTATAGAATGGAATATTTGACAATAAAAAGGAATTATGCATGATCAATGAACATAGACAACAAAGCTTGGGGATGGGGTGGGGGGAGGGGAGAAGGGTGTCAATGGGGGAAAATGAGAAACATCTGTAACAAAAACAAATTAATAAAAAATAAATTAATTTAAAAAAATAAAAATTAAAAATAAAGGAATGAAGCACTCATACCTGCTAAAACATGGTTGAATCTTGAAAACATTATACTACATGAAAGAAGCTAGACACATAAGACCATACACATATTATATAATTCCACTTATATGAAATGTCCAGAATAGACAAATCTATAAAGATAGAAAATAGTTGCCTAGAGCTCGGAAAGATGGCAGAATTGAGAGATGATAGCTAAAGGTACAGGGTTTCTTTTTGTTTTTTAACATGTTTTTATTGATTTTTTAGAGAGGGAGATAGAAACATCCATGTGAAAGAGAAACTGATCAGCTGCTTCCTGCATGCTCCCTACTGGAGATCGAGCCCGCAACCCAGGCATGTGCCCCGATCGGAAGTTAAACCAGGACCTCTCAGTTCATGGGACAATGCTCTATCCACTGAGCCACAATGGCTGGGTCAGGGTTTCTTTTTGGGTTGATGAAGATGTTCTAAAACTTACTGTGGTGATGACTGCATAAGTGTGAATATACTAAAAGTCATTGAATTGTACACTTAAAATGGGTAAATTGTAAGGTATGTAAATTATATCTCAATTTAGCTGTTACAAAAAAAAAAAAAACATTTAGAATAATGTGTGATTATAATGAGTTCTCAATAAATGTTAACTATTAATTCTAACACTATTATTAGGGTCCATTCAACAGAACCTTGAGTAAAGGCAAGAATATTTATGGCATTATTTTCTACTAATAATGTTTCTGCTAAAGTCAGAATGATGAAAGCAATTCAAAAGAAAATAATGCATGGAATTCACATTAAAATATACATGCAAACCCCAGGAATTCCATTTCAGCAAGAAACAAAGTAGGGCTACATGTTAATCTTCTGGTCTGATTTCTTTTTGCTGGGCAATTGACCTGTGTCCTGTGGACCTGGCATGTTAATTTTCTGAAGTTCTCCAACTTTTCCCCTTACCCTTTGGAACCCATGCTTAGCCCTGTCATAGCTATCTATCTAACTTATTCTATTCTTCCCTGAATAATTAATTCCCACTGGAATGAGAAGAAGATATAGAAAGGTCTCACTCCACTCTTTAACTCTTCTTCCAATATAAGTTTTCCTCAGGGTAAACCCTTTTTCCAATCCTAGATGAGAATACTTATATCTACTTGCAGAACATATGAACAGTTCCCTGTAACAGCTGGAAAACACATGTTTTTGGCCTAGGGAGACAGTAATCTCTCTCCAAAAACAAGGTACAAACCTCCCCTAAAGCTTCTAATGGATAAGCAGATTGGCAAGCTATCAACCAGCTGCTGAGAATCCTCTGAAAAGTTAAGTTGCCCCCACACTCTCAAGCACAGATAGTTCAAACAGGGACTGAATTACTAAAAGATAGAAGAGATGAGCACAAGATCTTTTGGCAAATTCCCCAATGACAAGAGCTCTTTCAATATACACACACACCATGGAAAAAGAGGCCTGTAACATTTTAGCAATCACAGCTGGGCTGACCTCAGCAATCAGGGTTAATGTAGTAATCACCAATGTGGGTCATTAAACGTATTTTCTGTGGGGACAAAAGGGGGTCAAAAGGATGTCACACACTCTCCTTTACCATCTAAAACAATGCCATCTGTGTCCCCTCTTACTCACTTTTTTATATCCATCTCATTGTTTTTGGCCAACCCCAGAGCAGGTGTGTTCCTGTTTATCTTCTTGGAAATATCTTTAACAAACTCCTTATTGGCTTCCTTCTTGGGCTGGGCAGGTTGACTCTGAGAAGCCTACAAAAAATAGAAGAAAGAAGCAAAGAAATGGAGAGAACCACAAATTACCCAATAGGTGGCTCTTATAAGAAAGTCCTGACCCACGTCCCACCCTAGACACCTTATTTGAGTGTTCCAGGAGTAATCAAAATATCTCACAACCAGTATAGCACTGATGTGAACTAATCACAGTGAAAGTTAGCAGTACAGTAGAACTTGTAATTATTAGCTAAATAACAGCATAAAATGATTCTAAGACACATAGGAAGTAGTTCTCATCTCCATGTAAGGCATACTGGCTGGCAAATCCCCAAAAGATGTTTATTTAATATCACATTCCACTTTGACTCCATAAGATGTTCAGAGGGGGGAAAAAGTCAACATAACTGGCTTTGCTGCCTGGGTATACCAAGATCAACTAGGTTTTCAGGATAGACCTCTAACACAACACTACCTGTGATATATCTATCCCATCTCATTGAAGGTATATTTAACATGGAGCTCTGGGGAGCTTCACCTCATATTCTAATCATGACTAATTCTATTAAACAGCAGGAGAGATCCTAGGTCTACAAATGTCAGTAAAAATAGATTTAGAAGTTATACCTTTAAAATGAAATAAATTGCCCTGGCCGGTTTGGCTCAGCGGTTAGAGCGTCGGCCTGCGGTCCTGAGAGACCCGGGTTCGGTTCCCGCTAAGGGCGCGTACCTCAGTTGCAGTTTGTCCCCGGCCCTGGTCGGTTGTGCGGGTGGCAGCCACTCAATGTGTTCCTTTCACATCGATGTTTCTCTCTCTCTCTCTCTGTTCCTCTCTCTCCCTCCCACTCTACCTGAACAAAGAATGGAAAAATGTCCTCGGGTGAGGATAAAAAAAAAAAAAGAAATAAATTGAACCTAATTATGTTTCAAATAAATACCATAACCATACCAAAGAAAAATAAAACAGAAGAAAACACAAGAAAAAAAAACCAACAACTAACTAACTCAAGTTCACACAGTATTACACTACATACCCTCAATATATACACCCTCAATCAGGATGGGTTTGTGGGGTGGCAGGGAATATTGCAAATAAATCTAGAACTCTTTATAGTAGGTTTGTTTATTATGATGATATAGATAAAGTAATTTTGAAACTTTTAGATGTATTACAGTGTTGAGTAAATGTGTTGATCTCGGGAACCAGGGTTCTTTTTTTTTTCTTTTTTCCTAATTAATTTATTTTGTTACAGATGTTTCTCCTTTCCCCCCCATTGACACCCTCCTCCCATTCCCGCCCCCAGGATTCTTATTGTAGAAGAAACATACAAATATGGATTGGGGAGTACAAGAAGGAACCCTGTTTATTAGAATGAGGGCTGTGTGAACTCATGATTTTTAAATATGCATGGCTATATATACATCTGAGTATATGTGTGTATCTGTGTGTATAGCTATATGTACATGTATGTTTAAGTACATACATATGTGGAGGTGTGTATATATGCAGATGTTTCCTAGTTCTGTATACTGGAAAGTCAGAAAAATCAGACACCCCAGTAGCACACCTAGCACTGAGATTTTGGCCTCTGATACCATTCCAGGGCTGAGATAAAACAGGTACAAGATTAATCTGGAAATCCTGTTATGCTGGAAAGAAAATGCTCAAAAAAAGTATGAGAACATGTCACAATTATGAGAATATATAACAGTAGTAACCCTACTGGCCAAATTGAAGGGAACCCTACTGGCCAAATCTGGGAGTTTCAGCACCAAAATAATTATGCACAATAATTAATAATAAACCAATGAAAAAATAGGAATTCATAAGTTCATACCAACAATAAATAAACAGGGAAGAAGGGAAGGCTCATGCTTATAGTGGAATGTCAAGGTCAATCTGGTAAATGGGGAGTAAGTGCTAAAGTTAGAAAAATCATCATGATTGATTTAGGTAAAAATCATCAATGGAAGCTAAATCTAGGGGATATTTTTTTATGAAGAACAGGTTATTTGCAGGCTCTTAAGAGTGTGTCCCACAGACTGCTTATTAGTTGCAAGAGGAAAAACATAAACAGTAATTATATAGTGGAGAAACCACACAACATCTTAACTCAGTGATCAGATTTACCATTACCAATGAGGAACAGATAGGCATCAGGTTGTCTCCAACTGTAATACCCTAAGAAGGACAGAACATCACCTACCCAGTATTCCAGCCAAGAATGTATAACATCAATCTAATCACATGGAAACATCAGACAAACACAAAATGAGGAATGTTCTATTTTTAAAAGGGGAAGTTGGGTGGGATTGTATTCTTCAAAAAGAGTAATGTCATAAAATAAAAACAAAGAAAGGCTATGGAAACATTCCAGATTAAAAGAAGCTGGCTAGAGACATGACAAGCAAATGACCCTAGACTGAATCTTTTACTAGAGGGAGAAAAATGTTTATAACATTGATCTTATAAGGTCAACTGAAAAAAAAAAAAGGAATACGGATGATAGATTACATTAAAATATTGTACCAATGTAATTTTATAAAGTTGTTCATTGTACTGTGGTAATATAAGACAATTTATCTGAGAAAATATACACTAAAGTACTTACGAGTAAAAGGCCATGATGTAAGTAAATGAGATAAAATGTTAACAATATGTGACTCTAGACAAAGAGTATATGTGTGTTCTTTGTACTATTTTTTTGCAACTTTTTGTATATTTAAAATTATCTCTAAATAAAGTGTAAAAAAGTGATATCTCTCTATCATCAGATCATAATAAGCAAATACCATCCAACAAGGAATTCTTTTTTAGGCCCTCAAGTCATCCCCCTCTGCTCTTCAAAGAGCTTGGCACAGTTTTCATTTTAATTCACCTAAAGTTTTATAAACTCCAGATATGTGTGATTGAGATTCAGAATTGGGAAAAAGGTGCATTCTTGGCAGGAAAGTGGTGGAGACCCTAACTCCCAGGGTGAATCTCTGTACCTGCCATATGTGAAGGTTCGAAGCACAAATATTTTCAGATCTAAGCTCAAGGGGACTTTTAATTGTACCTTCTCCATAATTCTTTCACCAAGAAATAGGAAAATAGAGATGAAGATCCTACTGACACAAAATCATTCAGGTAAACATGGATATGGACCCTATCTCCTTGTCTACTGGCTTAAGACCAGCTCTTACATATCAGAATTCCTTCCCATGCTGGAACAAAGGAGAGGGAAAGAAAAAAATTCACAGCAGATTAATTAAAACAGGTCAACACATTTGGCAGGCCAGGACATCACTATGGTGAATGTTATGAAGAAAACAGGCCCTGGCCAGTTTGGCTCAGCATTTGGAGCATCGGCCCGCAGACCAGAGAAACTGGGTTCGGTTCCTGCTAAGGGCATGTACCTCGGTTGCAGTTTGTCCCCAGCCCCGGTTGGGGTTGTGTGAGTGGCAACCACTCAATGTGTCTCTCTCACATCGATGTTTCTCTCTCTCTCTCTCTTCCTCCCTCTCTCCCTTCTGCTCTACCTGAAGATAAATGCAAAAATGTCCTCAGGTGAGGATACAAAAAAGAAGAAAACAGATATGGGGACATGGAGACATATTAATACTGACAGAAAGAAGAAAATCATCATATAGGGAACCACAAAATTCATAGGGAAAGGACCCTTAAAACCTCAAATAGATGAGCTCAGACATCTGCAAATGCCCAACCCTCAGAATGGCTTAAATAATGATGGAACATTCTCTGGAAAGCACCAAAGACCATTCATGTAGATCAAAGTGAACCCTCAGAACTTGAATGCAAAATGGAAATGGGCTTCCTGAGATTCTGGAAAGCTAGACAGAGACAAAGATACTTCTCAGGGATGACTTTCTAACCCCATCCTAACCCTGAATGAGGATGTGGCCTAGCAGATATTGATTTCAGTTGGAGTGTCAGGAGGGTCCTGGATATCAGCATGTTCTTCCTATTTATTTATTTGTGTTTATTCTTTATAAATGGACATATATACTTCATGAGAAAGAAAGGACCGAGACAAAGCAAGAAAGTTTCTCACATGCTGTGAGACCTTGATTTGCACACAGTGTCACTGCACTCCTATCACAGACTCTGCAGGCCAAGGGAAGCTACACCAAAATGGGCTGCACCTGCTCCTGATGTGTGTGGTTACCTTATTTCAGCCAAGTTTCTAAATCCATGGTTAAATAAGTCAGGAAACAAACCTAACCCCACAGGTCAGTGTGGAAGGGGTCTCTTTTAACCTATCTATAGTACATCTGAAATTAGGCAGAATCTGTAACCTAATCATATATGTTGTAATCTCTATGGGGAAGAGATTGTATTAGCACAAAGGTGGTCATATAGCATCTAAAGAGCAGAGATCCAAAGAGGAGAATTTTACCAATGTTCATCCAGTCCTGACCAAGAGGGTAAAATATTATCTAGTAGATACAAGTATTTCAGTAGCCACAGAAGGGCATTTTATTATGGAGGGCAGAAATAGTTCACCAGAGTTCTCTATATCCTAGATAAAACAGACTTCAAAACATTGAACAAGTCCTCATTTATAAAGTGGAGATAACTATAGCATCTACCTCAAAGATTTACATGAGAATCAAGTTGATACAGAAAAAAATACTTAGAATAGAGTCTGGCAGATGGTAAGCACTCAGTAGGTAGTCATCAGTTGTTATTATCTAAGATCAAAGATTACCTTTGGCCCAATCCTATATTCAATTAGTAATATTCTATTAATTCTGGTTTTTGATGATACCTTAATAATACCAGAAGGGAAGCCACTTGGAAGTGACCTCAAGAATTCTAGTCAAAATTGAGTTTCAAGATCTCCATAGTTGAAGACCAGATCATGGAGCTATGATGCCCAATGGTTCTATACATCAGAGTGCACATTTTATTGTCACTGTGACTGGGATGCTACTGGAACTTAAAGCCTGGGGTCCAGAGATGCTGGCTGAGGTCAGTCCTACAAAACAGGGGAAAAAAAAAAAAAAACACCTGCCCCAAATGCCTGTAGTGCTTAAGTTGATAAACACTGCACTAGACTATACTGAATCCACCAAAGTACTTACCTCTGAGGTCTAGGCAACTAGTTGACCCACTTCTAAACTTTATCTAAATTTAAGATCCCATAGTTCTCATATTTATCTGCTATTTCATATCTAATAATCACTCTATCTGCTGCTTCCGGAGAGCTCCACCAATTAATCTAGATCCATGTGCCAGCAGAAGAGCCCTCCAGTTTCTGAAATTGGGTAACTGATTCCAAATAAAATCAACTCTCTACATTTCAGAGAGGGAGGGTCAGAGTCTGGTAAACAGGAAAGGTCCCTCAAGGAAGAGGTTGTCTAAACCTTATACAACATCACAGCAGAGGATTGGACTAGCATACTCACATTGGTGAGATCTTCCAAAGCTGATCGCTTTTTGAGTGGTCCCTGAGGTGAAGATGGAGATACCTTTGCTTGGTAATTCTCCCCTCTCTAAAAAAGTAAAAGAGGTAAATGAGTATACCCAATTGTAAAGTCTTTTTCAGGGACTTTGGGTCATCATTGGGGCTCAGAGGGAAACCCCCAAATCTCCAAGCAACCCCAATAAACTATAACAAAAGGAAAATCTGACACTCTGCTGCTTAGAGAGTCCCTGAAGGAGGTAATCATTAATGATAGAAACAAGGCTGTGAGGAGACAAGATGACCTTCAGTGTAACTCTTAGAATGAGCAAAATAGCTTGCTAAAGTTAATTTTCCCTCCCACTTCTCTCATATTTATGGTTATACTCTCCAAGATTAACAACCACCACCATTACCCAGCCAGTCCCAATTCCTTTAATATCGGTGCTCTCTGGTAAATTGGTTCAATAATTTAATAAATATTTAAGAGTCTCCTATGCAGCCCTGGTTGGCTTGACTCAGTGGTTAGAGTGTCAGCCTGCGGACCAATGAGTCGTGGGTTTGATTCTGGTCAAGGGCACGTACCTCATTTGCAGTTCATTCCCAGCCCTGGTTGGAGTCGTGCGGGAGGCAACCAATTGATGTGTCCCTCTCATGTTGATGTTTCTCTCTCTCCCTCTCTTCCTCTCTCTCCCTCCCACTCTATCTGAACAAAAATGGAAAAATATCCTCGGGTGAGGATTTAAAAAAAAGTCTCCTATGTTAATTAGTTGATTTAAGATGTTCCAAATAAAGACAATAACATGCATACCTAGATACTGGTCCAGGATACAGCCTTTTACTAGCTGTTGACCTTGGAAAAGTCGCTTAATTTCCCAGCCTCAATTTTCTTATCAGTAAAATTGGAATAATAGTCAACCTTATTTGTGGATCAAATAAGAGAATACATGTAAAAAAGTCTTTAGACAAGAAAAAGCTAAAGGAGTTCATCACCACCAAACCAGTATTACAAGAAATGTTAAAGTATCTTGTTTATGAAGAAGAAAAAGATTAAAAATATGAATAAAATGGTAGGTAATAAATACATATCTATCAACAATTACTTTAATGCAAATGGATTAAATGAGCCAAACAAAAGACATAAGGTGGATGAATGGATAACAAAACAAGACCCTTACATATGCTGTCTACAAGGGACTAACTTCAGCCCTGGCCCCAGTGTTTCTCAATGGTTAAAGCATTGGCCCATGCACCAAAGGGTCACAGGTTCAATTCCAGGTCAAGAGCAAGTAGGATTGATCCCCAGCCCCAGTCAGGGAGAGTGTGGGAGGCAACCAATTGATGTGTCTCTCTCACATCGATGCTTCTCTCTCTCTCTCTCTCTTTCTCTCTCTCTCTCTCTCTCTCTCTCTCTTCCCCCCTCACTCTCTCCCTCCCTTCCACTCTCTCTAAAACAAAAAAATTAATGGAAAAAAGTATCCTCAGGTGAGGATTACAAGAGACTTATTTCAGGTAGAAAGACACAAACAGACTGAGAATAAAGGGATGGAAAAAGATATTTCATGGAAATAGAAATAAAAGAATAAGCTGCAGGAGCAGTACTTATATCAGACAAATAGACTTTAACACAAAAGCTATAACAAGAGATAATGAAGGATATAACAATTCCTCTTCTGGGTATTTATCTGAAGGAATCCAAAACACTACATCAAAGAGACATATGCATCAGTATGTTCATTGTAGCATTATTTACAATACCCAAGATATGGAAGCAACCTAAGTGTCCATCAATAGATAAATGAATAAAGAAGTGGTGCATATACATATACAATGGACTATGACTCAGCCATAAAGAAAAAAGAGAATAAAATCTTGCCATATGGCCCAGCAGTTGTGACTCAGTGGCTGAGCGTCAACTCATGCACAAAGAGGTCGCCAGTTCGATTCCCGGTCAGGGCACATGCCCAGGTTGTGGGCCCAATGCCCAGTAGGGGGCATGCAGGAGGGGGCTAATCAATGTTCTCTATCATCAATGTTTCTATCTCTCTCCCTCTCCCTTCCTCTCTCTCTAAAATCAACAAAGAAAAAAACTTTTTTTTTTTAAATCTTGCCATCTGCAACAACATGGATGGACCTAGAGGGTATTGTGCTGAGTGAAATAAGTCAGATAGAGAAAGACAAATACCATATGATTTCACTTATATATAAAATCTAAAAACCTAAACGAAAAAGCAGAAGAGAAACAGACGCATAGAGAGCATTTTGACAGTTGCCAGGTGGGATGGGGGTTGAGGGAATGAGTGAAAAAGGTAAAGGGATTAAGAAGTATAAATTAGTAGTTACAGAATAGTCACGGGGATGTAAAGTACAGTATAGGGAATATAGCCAACAATATTGTAATAACTATGTATGGTGTCACTTCATAAGTTATATAATGTCTAATCACTGGACTATATACCTAAATATAATATAATATTGTATGTCCACTGTAACTGTAAAATAAAAGAATATTAATTTTTTTTAAAGAATAAAGGTCTAGCCCTGGCCAGTTTGGCTCAGCAGTTGGAACATCGGCCTGTGGACCAGAGAGTTCCGAGTTCAGTTCCCGCTAGGGGCACATACCAAAAAAATAAAAAGAATAAAGGTCTAAGTATGGCAATATAAAAATATACAAAAACATATACTCTTTGATCTAAATTTTACTTCTAGAAAGTTATGCTATTGATAAATCTGTGCCTATAAGAAATGACAGTGTAAGAGCATTTATTATTGAATTGTTTTTAATTAAAAGGACTGGAAATAACTTTAAATGTCCTTTAGTAAATGATTGGTTAATTATGAAGCATTCATTCATTATGAATGAGACTGAATTAGAAAAATGAGTTCCTGCACTAATATGGAGTAATCTGTTGTTAAATAAATACACACTTTACATTAAAAAAAGGTCTGTATAAACTGTAAATGGGAAGAAATCATATTTTAAAAGTATGTAGTCCAATATGATTTTAAACCTCAAAGGGAAAATTTTGTATTCTAAGAAACAAGTCCAGCAATCCATATTAAACCCTACTTGATAGTGTATACAAAGGAGGAAAGATAGATGAGAGGAGAGGTAAATATTTTGGAGCAAAGGGGTTCTTTCTTCAAAGACATCATCCATCTGTGCATGCCTTACCCGACTCCCAAAGGAGTAAGATCATCTATGGTGGTAAAGGTTAGTGTAAATCACATTGTAGAGCTCTTCTACTCCTTAATAGTTTTTATTTGGTGAAAGTCTCCTATATATGAGATTTTCTTTATGAAATGAAAATAAATACTGCCCTACCAATATCAGAGATTTGTTATGTAAAGCAGAACATTAGGATCAAACCATTTATTTACTCTGTTTTCCATCTACACTATGAACAGTTAGTACATGACACAGTAAGTGGCCAGAAATTTTACAGTAGGATTCATAATACAATAGACCAATCTGTCTTGGCTGGTGTGGATCAGTGGTTAGAGCGTCAGCCTGTTCATCAATGGGTCTCGGGTTTGATTCCTGGTCAAGGACACTACCTGGGTTAGTTAAATATAAAAAATATCCTTGGGTGAGGATTAATAACAACAAAAATAGACCAATCTAACACAGTAGAGTAATCCTGAAAGAGTTGAAAAGAATTACTTCTGTTTTCTAATTGATTAAGCTAAGAAATAAGTGAGCCATTAGATTTTTATCTAGTTCATGATAAATAATCCTAGTGAAAATGATTTGCATAAAAATAAAATATTATTTTCTTACAAATTAGCTAAGAAATAAACTGTCAATCTGTTATCTAATTCCCGACTTAATACTACTGGTAGAAATAATCAGCCCCAAATAAAATTCACATGAAAAACTAAACTCCATAAAAATTTAATTTACAAAACGTGCCCCAAGAAAGTTGCATTTGGAAAGATAACTACCTCAAAAGAAAACTTACAATGGCAGAACGCTAATCAGAAAATTTGATATAGTCAAAAATCTGAAAAATGTAGCAAGTATTTCTTGCCAATTTATACAGGGAAAAAAACATCTGGCCCCTCCATGAAAACCATTTTAGTAAAATTAAAATTAAAATTATTAGAAAATGTTTATCTGTACTAAGAGGAAAGTAATCAAGGAAATTAAATGGGTTTAATGATGTTTGCTCTAGGAAATACTCTCTTAATGACAATCCATTAGTGTTAGTAAGATTCTGATTAAAATATGTATGATGATAAATGAATACAGAACATCCCAGGTCTGGAATGACTATGTCAAACTACCCACAAGGTCAAAATGGAGCCATTCTTCAAATTAAATAGCTGTAAAATGCATGATAATACATTTGTTGACCTAATCTTCATATTCTCCCCAGGATTTACCAACCAGCCTCCTGGAAAGGTGCTTTGAGCATCTTAGGGAAAGTAAGAGTATGGATATGATCATTAATGAGAGCTGAATGTTGTTTGCTTTTCAAGATTATGGAGGGTAGCCTTCATTTCATCCATGTATTTGGAAAGAAAAGTTCATACTTTCTCCCCAAGTTCTAATTTGCTGATGTTCTCCAACTACAAGGGTTCCCACCCCTTTCCTCCTTCTCAAATTAAACCACAGGTATTCTGAAAGATTTAGAGGTGAGAATAGGGACTAAGCCAACACAGGAAGAGGCTACTTGAGACACTGTTGAGAAAGACAGCTTGCTCTAACCTTTTCAAATTGGCCATGATCATTGGGCACAATTTTGCTGGACTGAGATTTCTTAGTCTCATGTTTGGAGCTTCTGAGTGGTAGTGGCAGTGGCATCTCTTACAGATTCAACAGCGTCTATCCAAGGCAGAGCTGCAATCAGAGTCTCTTTTAAACACCTTTCACCAGAAACATCACAGAATTCTCTGGAGACTCTTGAGAAAACCCAGTCTCTTTATTGCATCCCTAGAAGGAAACATACTTTGAGTTAGGTAGATCTAGGTTCAAATCTTGTTTCTACCATAGTTAACCTTGGTCAAGTGACTGAAACTCCCTGGGCTCCAGTTATCTCATCTATAAAATGGAGATAAGTATACCCACCTCTGCAGGACACTGTTCAAATGAAATGAGATACTCTATGTCAAAAGCCCAGCACAGTGCCTGCCATCCTCTGTGGGCAATGAAATTATGGCCTAGCCCCTAGTTTAGGCCTAGGAATATTGGAGACAACTTACGTGATTTACACCGAAAACAATCAAGAATGTGACAGGTCATATAGTATGGAGGCTAGCTGGTAGGATTAATGTTCCTTAAAAGGCACAGGATCCTGGCCATAGCAATTATAATATGCTACAAAGACACAGAATGCACTGCATATATACACATATATGCACAATAAGCCAGAAAGTATTCAAGGGCTGCATTCAAGCAGAAGAAATGGTAATCCAGTTTTAGATACCTGGTAGGTAATTTTTTTCAAAAGATGAGATTACAGCAAAAGAAACTAACTTATTGAAAAATCACTTGACATAAAAATTTAACAGTCAGCCAAGCCAGTGTGGCTCAGTGAACTGAGCATCATCCCATGAACTGAGGTGTCCATGTTCGATTTCTGGTCAGGGCACATGCCCAGGGTTGCAGGCTCAATCCCCAGTGGGGGGCATGCAGGAGGCAGCTGATCAATGTTTCTCTCTCACGTTGATGTTCCTATCTCTCTCTCCCTTCCTCTCTCTCTCTCCAAAACAATCAATAAAACATATTTTTAAAAAATTTAACAGTCATTGCAATCCTTGGGAAAATACTACCTTCACCTCATCTCAGTTTAAAACCACATTCTACATTTCTTAAGGTTCTTGTTGTTTGTGAGTTCTCAATAATTAGGATACACTTATGTCTTACAAGCAAATACATTATTAGGAAGAATTATTTTTTTCTGATACACAAGAGACCCCACTCAGATACAACTTCCCTTAGAACTCCACTCACCCGCAATCTCCAAGTTCAATTGCGTAAGAGAGGCCCTAGGGAATGCAACAAACTTATCACTATGTACCAGATACTTCAGGCGACAGAGATACAAACATAAATAAATCATGGATCTTATCCTAGAAGTATTCACATGCATAGTTCTAACAGTAACATAAAAATGTGACAAATGATTATCAAAAACAGTAGATACAAAAGTACTAGAGAAACATAATGGAAATATAGAGGTTATATATGATCTAGACTTAAATTACAAAGACGTTCCCAAGTACACTGAGGGGTTTTCCAGGCAAAGAAAGCCTGAGTCCAGGCAGAGACGTGAACATACAGAGCACAGAAGGTTCCAGGGATGTCCAGGTTGTCTGAGTGCAGAGTATTAAAAATTGTGCTGGGAGGGGAGTTAGAAAGGGGTTGAAAGCTAGACTGGGGGTAGGCTGGTAACAAAGGGAAACACAGAAAGGAAGGTTTAAGAAAGGAGAAAGGACTTAGGTTTTGCTTTGGATGGAGAAATATTATACATCTTCTCAAAAAATCTGTAAAAGTATGTGCCTTCACATTTATTACATCAGTTGATCCTCACAACAAAACTGTTTCCATTTTATAGTCCTAAATGAGTTAAGTGACTTACCACACAAGACAATTTATCAAGCGGTATAGATTACCAGCTCTTTCCAGGACTCTTTCTAAAAAACCATAAAGTCTCTCTCATCACACTCAAAAACATTTCAGAACAGTCCATGGTCCAAAATGAAAGTCCATAGTATAATAGAGAGAGGAGGTAGAATTAACACAGGTTTTTTTGTTTTGTTTTGTTTTGTTTTGTTTTGTTTTTAAAGAAGCAATTGGACTTCTAAATCAGCCAAATTAGCATGAGCCACGGCTTCCTCTTTTGCAAAAGAGCTATACCCCTACTTACTTGCAGAGAGACCCTATGGCTCAAATGTAAATTTTTATGTGAAAGCTTAAGCATGGTAGGCATTCAGAATAAATGGTGGGTATTACTCCTCTCTTCCTGCAAATGCAAAATTATTTTCCATCTCATCCTTCAAAATTCAGCCAAGCAGCAATAAAGTTAAACTGAGTGCACCCACCCTTAACTGCACTGCATGAAAATAACTTACTCCACTATTATTATTCACACCTCATACAATTTTTTATGGATGACCAAAGACTTCTGAAACCTTTGCCTTTCAAGGGAAAAGATAAAAATCAAACTGAGGCAAAAAAGGCTAAAAAACATTCAGCTGATGGTGGTTTCACAGGTTAGATTAAACCTCAGAGAAAATAAAGTTATTCATATAACGGTCATACGCCACCTTCACTATCCTGAACAATAATCACTTGCTTTGGTGGACACACACACTGACTTAAGTAGCTAATTTCACTGCCACTAGGAGAGGAGATTGACACCACTAAAAACATGCTTTCATAAAAGGACAACTCTCTGCAAAACATTCCGGACTTCTACCACCTAAAAAATGTTGAGCCTTATTACTTGGACAAGAAAATTAGAATACTTTCCACTTTCCAGGCTCTCCATCTCCCCTACATGTTGAAGACCTCATTGGGTATCCCAGAGCAGTGCTGAAACCCACACAGAGATAATTTGGCTCTTTTAGAAGCCCAATTGTTCAGACTCCAAAACTGTAAATCAAGACAATCTCCAGGAAACAGTAGCAACTTCGTTTTATGTATAAAGGCAAGTTACAGGTTGGAGAGAGTAAGCGGCGTGGTGTCTGTCACTGAAAGCAGCACTGGACTGAAAATTATGCCTAGGGTCTAGTTTAAACCCTGCCAGTAGCTGGCTGGGTGACACTGGGCAAGTCCTTTTTCCCTCCCTAGGCTTCGTTTCTCCACCTAATAAAATAAAGCAGTGGGACCAGAGCCTCCATGCTATTCAAACAGTGGTAAATGGACAAGCAATATTAGCATCACATGGGAGCTTTTAACTATTTAAAATCTCAGACCCCAAGCTAGCCCTTACCAAATAGGAACAGACAAATTAACAATATCCCCAGGTGATTTGTATGCACTTTACAGTTTAAGAAGCACTAGTCTAAGGTCCCTTCGACCTCTGACTTTCTAAGATTCTAATCCCATAACAGAGAGCAATGGGCAAGCCAGAGTTGAAGGGATTGGAGGCAGATATGAAGAGGAGAGAGAGATATGAGAAAGATAACAAGGAGAAAAGGACACCTTTCCATCAACCTGTAGTCCAAAAGACAACCCTCCTCAAATAGCATTCCCTGATTTAAATACGACATCTTGTGGATGAAATTGATCCTACACACTTTCACTTGTGAAAAGACATTTTGTAAATGTACTGGGATTCAGGCATGTGTATTGGAGGCTCACCTGAAAGATGAGACCCGGTCTCATTTGCTTTGCCATCTCACCCTCTAATACACACTCCCTGCCCAAACCGCATACAAAGCTCACTCCGCAGACTGCCGACTAGAGGGAGAGCAAAAGAAAGGTTTTCTGACAGGGACGCCACACACCAGGGCAAGAGAAGACAGCGTGTAACAAGGGGCTAGAGTGGTGCTCAAAGGCCAATAGGAGTGCGACAGAACCGGACATTGGAGCGGGCAGTACAAAACCAAAGGCGCCTACCTCATATGCAGATTGGGCGCAGAACAGGCAAGATCATGGACTCATTCCTAAAGCAGGAGCGGCCAGCAAATGAACGGAGCACAGGGTCATAGCGACACCTGTCGGTCTCAACCTGGCCTGCGCTCCCTCCAAACCTCCAGCAGCAAATTTTGAAAATCACAGTCCTAGAGAAAGCAGTGATGATTGGCTAGCAGGGGCCAATCAGCGTGCAGAGTAGTGAGGTGACCTCACCCAGCACGGAGGGGCGGGGCAGGGGGGGTAATTGAACTCTGAGGCTAATAGACCTCCAATCCAATTGGCTGGAGTAGGCTGGTTTCACAAGCAGGAGTACTGGGTCTCTTTTTTTTCTTTTTTAAAATTTATTTATTTATTTATTTTGTTACAGATGTTTCTTTTTTCCCCACTGATACCCCACTCCCCCTCCCTCCCCACCCTGTCCCCAGTTTTGTTGTCCATGTCTGTTGTTCATGCATACATGCATATAAGTTCTGGGGTTTAGCTCTCCCCCTCACCCCTCTTCTGGTGATTGTCAGTCTGTACCCCACCTCCACGTCTCTGGGACTACCCCATTCCTCAGACTGTTATGTTCATTATATTCCACAAATAAATGAGATCATGTAATATTTGTCTTTCTCAGTTTGGCTTGTTTCTCTTAGGATAATACTTTCCAGGTCCCTCCATGTCATCTCAAAGGATAAGAGATCTTTCTTTCTTACAGTGGCACAGTACTCCATTGTGTATAAGTACCACAGCTTTTTTAGCCATTCGTCTACTGATGGACATTTGGGCTGTTTCTAGATCTTAGCTATTGTAAATAGTGCTGCTATGAACATGGGGATACATATATTCTTTCTGATTGGTGTTTCAGACTTCTTAGGGCATATTCCTAGAAGTGGGATCACTGGGTCAAATGGCAGTTCGATTTTTAGTTTTTTGAGGTAATACCATATTGTTTTCCATAGTGGCTGCTCCAGTTTGCATTCCCACCAGCAGTGTAGATCAATGGACCAGAATAGAGAACCCAGAAATGGACCCAAGACAATATGCTCAATTAATATTTGACAAAGGTGGCAAGAACATACAGTGGAGTAAAGACAGCCTCTTCAATAAATGGTGTTGGGAAAATTAGACAGCTACATGCAAAAGAATGAAACTAGAACATCAACTTACACCATGTTCAAGAATAAACTCAAAATGGATAAAAGACTTAAATGTGACTCATGAATCCATAAAAGTCCTAGAAGAAAATGTAAGCAACAAAATTTCAGACATCATACACAGCAGAATTTTCACTGATACATCACCTAAGGCAAGAGAAAAAAAGAAAAAAATGAACACATGGGACTATATCAAACTCAAAAGCTTCTACACAGCAAAAGAAACAACCACCAAAATGAAAAGGCAACCCACTGTATGGGAGAGCATCATTGCCAATGATATAACAAATAAGGGGTTAATTTCCAATATAGAGAGAGTGCTCATACAGCTCCACAAAAGGAAGACAAAGAACCCAATTAAAAAATGGGCAGAGGAACTAAATAGACACCTCTCCAAACAGGACATACAAATGGCTGAGACATATGAAGAAATGCTCAACATCACTAATCATCAGAGAGATGCAAATTAAAACAACAATGAGGTATGTCAGAATGGCCACCATCAACAAATCATCAAACAATAAGCATTGGGGATGTTGTGGAGAAAAGGGGACACTGGGTCTCTTTTTAAAGTGGCATCTTCAAAGAACGTATATGCATATATGCATAACAATGGACACACACAATAGTGTGGTGAAGGCGGAGAGTAGGATGGGGAGCAGGGGGTCAATGGGGAAAAGGGGGAGACATCTGTAATACTTTCAACAATAAAGATAAAATTTTTTAAGATAAAAAATAATAAAAATTTTAAAAATGAATTGTGCACCTGAAACCTGTATAATTTTGTTAACTATTGTCACCCAATAAATTCAATAAAAAGGAAAACGGAAAAATAAAATGAATGGACTAAAGCTTGGGGATGGTAAATGGCTTGTCAATATTTGCTTGCTGGTGATCAAGACTTACATGCATAGCTAACTCATGGACAATAGTGTGGTGAAGGCCTGGGGCTGGGTGGAGGAGGACAAAGTGGGGAGGAAATGGGGGAAAAGTAAAATAAAGTGGCACTTTTATTTAAATAACCCTGCTGGAGGAAGGGGAGAACAGCTGTACAATTTAGGTTCAGACCAGTTAAAACATTAATATTAATAATCTTTTGTAGAATCAAACATTAACTCCTGCTGGCATCACAAATGGCCTTGTGATGGGAAGCAGGGCAGAGATTATTGCCTATTTTATGAGTAAGTGCCTAAAATGTAGAGATCTAATAATAGTAGTTAACATTAATGCAGTGCTAGCTCTTCACTAATTGTTAGATTTTCTTATTGTTTTAACCCTGTCCAAAAGATGGGTACTTTTATTATTGCCATTTTACAGATAACAAATTTGTAGCTAAGTGCCCAATATCACAAAGCTATATTGTGGCAAAGCTGGTACTAAAACCCAGATATTCTCATTTACTTCATTTACACATTATTTTTCATTCAAAAAATATCTATTGCACACCTGCTTTGTCCCAGAAACTGGAAAATGTATGTATGAGTAATTTACAAAAAGACTGAAAGAATGTATAGTCCTGCCCTGTCCTCTGAGGAAGCAAAGATAAATGGAGATGCCAGGAATAAAATCTAGAACTTCCTGCATATACAGCAAATACTCTACCACTAAATTATATCCCTACTTCTATTGTTAGCCCATTCTCTTTTTAGTATCTCATAGTTTCTACATTAAAGGTAAAATATTCACATAATCCCAGGCTCTCTTCTCTTTTTAATCTCCCTAGGTTATCTCATCCACACCCACAACTTTAAATATCATCTAAAAGCTCTAACTGACTACTCCACATCTCCACTTGGATGTCTAATAGACACTTCAAATTCAACATGTTCTTAACCCTTACCAAACTGATCCTTCATCCAATGTCCCCCATTTCAGAAATTGATACATCAAGCTTTTTAATCAAGCCAGAAATCTGGTATCATCCTTGATTCAAACTCTTTTCCATCACCTTACCTTCCCATATCCAATCCTTCAGCAAATTGTGTTCATTCTACCTCAAAAATATAGCTTATATCCATCCACTTCTCTCCATCTCCACTGCCACCAGTCTCTCATTTGGACTACTGTCAAGAGCCTCCAAGCTGCTCTCCCTCTTTACAATGTTACCCTTCTCTAATGCAAATATGACACAAGATCAAATATTTTATTTATATATATATATATATATATATATATATATATATATATATATATATACACACACACACACACACACACACACACACATCCTGCCCTCTCCTGCTTTAGTGGTTTCCCACAAAATTTCAGATAAAATCCAAACTCCTTAATCTGGTCTACAAGTCCTGCCTATCTCATCACACTCTCTTTCTCATTCACTCCATTCCAGCCATAATGGTCTTTTTTCAAAGCTTTGAATATACTAAAATTCCTCTCTTTGGGATCTTTGCACATAATATTCCCACTGTCTAGAATATTCTTCCCTCTATTCTTTAAATTATTTTTTTGTGTGTTTTTTTTCTCATGCTTCAAGTCTCAGCTGAAATGTCCCCTCTTCAAGAGAGGCCTTCCCTGACCATGTTATCTAAGATAAAATTCTCCCCCTACTCCCTTATACTCCATCTCAGTCCCTTACCTTTATTTTCGAGTGATGGTTGCTATTTGTAATTTTTCAACCCATATTCTCACTCAAGAATGCAAGGTCTATAACTGCAAGGACCATATTTCTTGTGCTCTATTTCCAGTGATTAGCATTAATAATAGTTCACAGTTATCAATTCCTTACTATATGTCTGACACTGTTATGACACTGACAATACAATGAAGTGTTCATACAGTAAAGCCCTGATTTTTCAGACCTCAACTTAATGGATTTTGGATTTAATGGACAAAATTTCCAGACCGAATGTCATATGTGAAAATTAACCCTGTTAATTTAAAAATGCTTTTAACCAAGATTTGCTTATAGTTAAATTAACAGGTTATTTTTTGTTACTAATTCAGTAATTTTTAACAAATTTTAGCAAATAAGCCATATGTTGGAAAAGACACTGTAGTAATTTCACCGACATAGATAAATATTACATATCTACAACTATAGTCTACATATTTAAATCCAAGAGTCACCACTCATAAACAATGTTCAGCGAATGATTAGCCCATGATCACACTGCACTGCACATGGTAATTAGTTCTGTTGTTGCATGGCATGAAAACTATGTCAGTTGATGTTCTGATGTGGGTTAAGCTACACCCCAGCCATGTGCATTTGTTTACTTGCAGTGACTGGTGAATGTACACATTTACTAGACCTATTCAGTATAAATTTAAAATTACAGTAATACATATAGAAAACTTTTCTGTGAAATTAAACTTTTCATACATACTTAATTTTAATTATACAAACATGTCTATGTAAGTAAAAACAGGTAAACTAATTTGTCAACTTTTTAACATAAGCATTTGGAAAACCTACTTTATTATATAATGGACTTTCGGCTTTAACAAACACCCCCTCACCCTAATTAGTCTGTTACATCAAGATTTTACTGTATCCCATTTTGCAAAAGAGGAACTTGAAGTACAGCAAAGTTTAGTAACTTGACCAATGTTATCACAGCTAGTAAGTTATTAGACTGAAATTTAGACCCAAACAGTCTGATTCCAAAAACCAAACACATAAGCATACCTGCCTCCTTGACAATGATTGAAAACATCTATTTGTTAATTAAATGAGTATCATCCTTTAAGGGTCATTAACTGTAAACAAATGTCCCACTAGGATATACTGTAAAGGAAATATAATATCAACACAAGTCACTATATGTCTTCTTTAGTCGAGAGAAAAAGGTCCATCTACCAAAACAACAGCAACACAAAAATGACAAAACAAGCAATTTC